GCTGGGGCGCAGGGGGTTGGAGGGGGTGCGCCGCCAAGTATGTCATTGTGATTCCCCCTCCGAATTACCGAAACGGATTTTGATTTTTTTAAATATCTTGTTTATTTACTAAGATATGGGGGGTGGTAAGTTTTCAAATTGTCACCCTGTATAAATTTCAAACGTTTTCTCTTCGACTCTTCGGAAAAGCAATGAAATAACGTGAGCGCACTTGACTGCTCGTGTATGAGCAAAATCTAAAATCTAAATAGGATAGGAACCGTTTTTTGAAAAAATTCGTCCTGCCGTAAAATTAATACATAGCAAATTAGCTTTTAAATCGAAATTTCTGCAATTAAAGACAATGAAAAGCAATTTTACTTTCTAGACCTGCACAAAATAATTAAAAAATCATGGAATGCATTGTGCCCGTAAACCATGTAATAAAAATGTTCAGCATAAATTTAACCTAGTATTTCTGTCGCATTGGATTTAATTATTTCTTAATCACGAATTAGAGCAACGGAAGCCATTGCTCACGTTTAGAGATTATTAGTGGAGTTACAATTTTAATAAAATACGTATGTTTTTACTTCGTTACGAAGTTAAATTAAGTCTACGTGAATGAGAATCTTGTTCCCTGTCTTAATTAATTGCTTCATTAAACGCGTGTCGCCTACTTAAGGTTAACCTTTCTATAATTCCAGGAGCTTTTACAAATCCGGATTATTAGCGATGATTTAAGTATGCTCTCATAGGTAAAATCCAGCGATCTTTTTCGATTAATTCGAACCGTATAAGCTCAACGAGCAGCGATACTTCATATCTTGCTTTTAATATAAACCTCAACTGCCAAAGTTGTACCCACTGCGAAATATTTTTGGGTTGTTATCTATGTCTACCTAATTTGTTGTTCATATTGTGAAGTAATGCTCAATAGAATCAATATTTTATACCATCACCGCTGCAAAAATTGTATTCACATATTCCTAACATGGAGTCATTGAATTAAAATATCCCAATACAAATGACGACCCTAAATAACTTTCTGGAATCGACTCCAATCATCAGAAATGCCTGTGAAAATCGTTCCCACTTGTCTTCTGATATACTCTTAAATTCATAAAATGAAAATTTATTCCAAATCTTCATGGCTTTGAAAACCTATTAATTTCGTTCCATAATCCTTTTTTTCTAACTACTCTCCATTTTTTTTATTCACCTATAGGTATGTATAACTTTCGAATTCTTTGTGAAGTGAAGACTTAAAAGTCCCAAATGCTAAATCTACTTGATTTTGTTCAAGCTTAATTTATTTTTAATAGATCTAAATAATCAAAACCGGAAATAACAACTTTTAAAAAGTAAAAGGCTCAGGGATCGAAAATCGAAACAACATTTAGAAACATATCACAAAAGATGATAGCTTCCTTTGAAATGTACCAAGGTACCTACCTAAAATGTACTAGATCTCCTTTCCAGAACCTTATGGATCGACTAAAACAAACAAAAAGTAGTAGCTGTTCAAAGCTTTAAAACGAAATTCTTGGATCTAAATTCAAAATGATTTCTTGTATAAATTTAATACTCAAAATATAACAACCGCACAACATTCGAAATGCATTTAATTATAAATCCAAAATTTCTTTTCTGTACCTTATCTAATCAATCATGTAAGAATAAAAGTATAAAACTCGAAAAGGCTTTAAAAGGTCTAAAATAGGCCAGATTTTTTATGAAAGTCTCCAAATAAGTTTTATGAGATAGAATATACTTTTGGGAATGAATAAATATGATATGTACTTACCATTTACTAAAATGAGGGTTTATAATGAAAGCGTATGCTCACAAATGAGTGGTAGTCTGGTAGACAGTTCTTATGATACAAGAATCAAATGATTATATGGTGAACCAATTATCTAATACAGTGCATGGTTTTTAGTAAGCGGCAGAGCAAAGCGATGCAAGCTTTATAGGGGTGTCGATGGTGGTTGACCTACAAGCCACATGTAACAAGCCTGTTAAAAATGGGTCAAATCCAATGACCCCGTAGGATCAAATTGAGGTGCTCTGTCACTTTTTTAGATCCGCTTTAGGGGTTTATTATTATAAAAAATTATTGCTTTAAAACAAACTTTGAGAGTTGAAAAGTTATAAATTTCCTCGAGGACCTGAATTATGAATTTACTGATCGCATTTGCACAATAACTGGATTGAGTAGGTCGGCAGTAATAAAGTATGGCTTACTTACGTAGCTGGAATAAACAAATAGTGTGACTTTCAAGCCAATAATTAAGCATCATACAGGTACTGTTAACCGTATTGTTAACAAAAATATACATACGGTATCGGCGCAATCAAAATTCTATTAAGAACCTATTTGACAATGTCTGGAATGCGGTTACGTGTTACTTTTTTCCTTCCGATTTTTTGGGCGTTTGTTTGCATCATTAATATCCTTTCCATCAATGTCCCCTCGTACTTTTTAAACTACAACCGCCATTATTCGCTCATTCTAATTCCATCAGCTCTCCGCAATGTGTGATCGATAACATTCAAAGTAGGTACCTAAGTGCATCGAAATTGGTTCATACATCGTAGAAAGTAATTTAATTTATTTATAATGACGCGCGGTAAAAATTAGGTGAAAGAGGCTCATTGTTTGTGCTTTGCCTAATTCACATGCAGGGAATGGGGAACGCTATTTATCATCACTTTTACTTACCTTTTTTAATTGCCGTACAACATTTCTAACTGTTTAAACTATGTTTTCTCGGGAGCGCACGACCGGGTATAATACCTATGTAAAGCAAAGCATGTTGTCATAAGAGAATAAACTCTAACGGAAGGACCCAAGCCACCGATGATAAGAAATAAAATAAGATGATCCTGAATAAAAATGGATCTAAAAAGGAAATGAAAAGTAATGAAAAAAATTGGCATTACCATGGTTCTACAGTACAAACGTTTTATCTATTACTATATACAGATCAAATAGCATTTACTGTGTTACTACGAATCATATCCGCCTAGTTGGGTGCAGCCCACATAACATACATGAACTATTGAACCAAAGAGTACCATAGTACTCTTAGTAGTGCTCGTTACAAAGAAAGTCGTCTAGAAATTAAGAAATGACTTCCGTGGGGGTTTTGGTGTCACAAGCTGAAATTCACAAAAACTGAAAGGTCATTAGTCTAATCGAAAAAGTACGAATTGTTTTGGATTCTATGCCCCAAAATTAATAAGAAAAAGTGTTTTCCCGAGAAATTTTGGTGTAGTCGATTTTTGGTAAAAAAAATTGTCTCAAATCGACCGGGAAAAAAAAGTGTTCTTATAGAATGTGCCTCGTAGAATCCATAATTTCAAACATTTCGAAGATTGGGCTACTAGTTCAAAAGTTACAGCCCTTTGAATTTTCTTTCGAAATTGGTTTCTAGTCTATAACTTTTGACTGAGAAGCCTAATCGAAAAAGTACGAATTGTTTTGGATTCTACTCCCCAAAATTAATAAGAAAAAGTGATTTCCCGAGAAAATTTGGTGTAGTCGAATTTTGGTAAAAAAGGAAGGTTATACACTGCCTTTTTTTGAACCCCGAAAAAAAAATTGTCTCAGATCGACCGGGGAAAAAAATTTTCTTATAGATTGTGCCCTGTAGAATCCATAATTTCAAACATTTCGAAGATTGGGCTACTAGTTCAAAAGTTACAGCCCTTTGAATTTTCTTTCGAAATTGGTTTCTAGTCGATAACTTTTGATTGAGAAGTCTAATCGAAAAAGTACGAATTGTTTTGGATTCTACTCCCCAAAATTAATAAGAAAAAGTGTTTTCCCGAGAAATGTTAGTGTAGTCGATTTTTGGTAAAAAAGGAAGGTTGTACACTGCCTTCTTTGAGCCCCGAAAAAAAAAATTGCCCCAGATCGACCGGGAAAAAAATTTTTCTTATAGAATGTCCCCTGTAGAATCCATAATTTCAAACAGTTCGAATATTGGGCTACTAGTTCAAAAGTTACAGCCCTTTCAATTTTCTTTCGAAATTGATTTCTAGTCTATAACTTTTGATTAATCATAAATGTCAAGGCCGTCCAAAATCGATCATTGCATTAGGGCACAAAACACGAGTTAAGCACATGTACAGAAAGAAGAAAAAATATCTAATTTTTTCGTATATAAATTTAGCTTCCTCTGTAAAAAATATTTTATTTACTTAAAGTGCCCGCGTTTTCATTTAATAAATTAAACAATGTTTCACAAAAATATATTTGTCTTATTTTGTCTTCTTCACAAAACTGTTGGTGGTTGGAAAATGTATAAGGCTTGTATTTAAATTCTGTTAAGATCTTCAATAGGGAGATGTGTGCAATTTCACATTCTCTAGCTAAATTACGAACAGATGTAATTGATTTTTTTTGTATGTACGCTAAAATATTTAACTTTATTTCTTCACGGCAAATTTTGTGTAATGTCCATTAATAATATTTTTAATGGTGTTGTGATTAAACTGTGATTATTGAAATACATGAGCAGTATTTCCATTTTTTTTTTATTCTGTATAATTTATAATACTTATAATATTTTTATTTATTAATAATACAATCATCTTAATTTAATACATACTTAATTAAAATATTGACTTTTCTTGAAAAACATTTGAAAAAGTAATTTAAATTTTTTGAGAGATGAAAGTAGGTAAGACTGGTTGCCTATCTTAAAGGGCATTTGACTTGTACATTTCAGAATTTAACATAGGCGTTTTATATGCAGAAGATTAGTATGTTCAAAGTTAAAATGTACGCACTGTAAGTTAGTAAGTATATTTTGGAAATTTGTCGACTGTATCTCGTAGTATGTATAATCACAGATAGTATAATCAAAACTAGCGTAATGTTGCTCACTTCGGCTAGTGCCCACTATCGATGATTTGATACAATTTTGAATCACCCTATATCATAGAAATGTTAGATTGCTGCTTGTCTAGGGATTAGGGTTTTTTGATCTGGCATAGTGGCATGACAACTGCGCAAGTGTATGGATTTGTTTATGTGTTTAAAGCATATATATATAAGAGAATTAAAGTTTATATTTTCATTAATTTAAGAACAAATTTCATTCTTCTAGTGCAGTTTTATTAATTTCTTTAATTAAACACCAAGTTTTGTGTTACAATCTAATGTGAAACACCCTGGGAAATAAACTACAGAGTTAGTTTTACTTGTTCATGAAAAAATAACCTACAAATTTTAAATTTAAGATTTACCATGGAAACCGACAATGAGAAAGATTCCAGACCTCTATCGCCAATTTTAAATAAGAGCCTTGTATACCGAAGGAAGTCGTTCACACGTAGACCAAGTAAAACACGTATCAATCTATCAGAAAGGTTTGAGACACCCTCTGAAACACGCGAGGTCCCCGAGGACAGCCGGTCTAGTTGTGATTTCGAATTTAAAGTACCTGTTTCACCGGCATCAAAAGCAAAAGTTGTAGGTTTTACAACGGCCTCAGGTAAGAGTCTGCATGTCTCATCCGAATTGATTAACGGTCGGTACGAGATGTACAAGCATATACTGCAAGCGGACGTTAGTGATGAATCGCTGGTGGTATTTCGAAAAGACTTTAGTTTTATAAGTTCACTTAAATCGCACGGGCCTGTGACCTCTAATTCTGCCCAATCGGCACTTGATACACAGACTGCTGTAACAGGTGAAGTTGTGGAGTCGTGTTCAGATCGAGAGGTGAGGGGTTTTACTATTGATGAATGTAACTTTGCATCTGACTTACTGAGACGTTTTAACCAGTTACTCGATGAGTCGGTTAACGAACCTCCGGCTAAAAAATTTAAGGCCAACAACGACGAGTGCGGTCTTTTAGATGATACATTACTTAATGTATTTGCTAAAGAAGACTCAAGTCTACTTGCAGAGAATATTGCAAGGGAACGGTTGGAATTTGATTCAGAAGCTGAAGTACCAGAAAATGACTCACTTCCACGAAGAGAAGGAGGAATAACAAAGGAAGTGGTATATGAAGGCGCTTGTGTGTATAAGGTAGGCAACACATGGTGCAAACTGCAACCTTGCGTCATAAATTTAATTACCTATATACTTATGACCCTAAACATTATTTTGGACAAATTGGAAACTTTGTAAAAAAAGGTTTTATATTGTTTAGTACCTAATTTCCGCATGTTTATCGGCCTGTATTACAAAGCACACTTAACTATGTTGTCAGGCTAGCTTTTTTAAAATTCCTCAAATAGGTAGAAAAGAATGAGTGAAAATATACGGCTTAGTATGAAATCTATTCTTCATGTTAAAAACGATCAAAATACAGTACTATTTTCCTCCATTTCTTATATAAATACGAGGGTCGTTTGATAAGTTTCCTGTTTTGCATAAATTAACATGGATATAGAGTCAAAATACAAACAACGCCTATACGTAGATATGTTTGAAACTATAGGTATCTTTATTTACTCCATAGGAGGGTAAGGATATCGACCCTCATTTGCCCTTGATGCCAGGGTTTACAACAGCAGCAGGTGGGACTATTGAAATATCCGAAGAGGCTCTGAGAAGGAGTGAAAATCTCCTTGAAGATAAGTTTCTAATGACTCCTGGTGATATGGAGCGAAATATCGAATCTTCAGGCGCGTCAGGTTTTCGCACAGCTGCTGGGGGAACAATCGGGATATCAGAAGAAGCTTTGAAAAAGAGCAAGAAACTTTTTGCGGATGATCTTCACACGAAGATGGAAACCAAGCAGGAGGAGTATTGTGAAGATGTGTTGGGTTTTGCGACAGCTGCCGGCGGGATTATTCCAATATCAGAGGCGGCTTTGAAGAGAAGTGAGGCAATTTTGGCAGATCACCTCTGGTGTTCTCCTGAGAAGAAACAATTGGCTGGATTCGCGACAGCTTCAGGAGGAGTGATTAACATATCTGAAGAAGCATTGAAAAGAAGCAGAGAGCTTCTTGGAAATGATCTTCCCAATGAAAAACTTGACCGCCTGTGCGAGGGATTTACTACAGCAGCTGGTGGTATGATTAAAGTGTCAGAGGAAGCTTTAAAAAAGAGCGCAAAGTTTCTCGAACAAGACCTGCCTCCACCTGAGCCGACTGGGTTTAGTACTGCTGCAGGTGAAGGAATTAAAATATCCAAGGAAGCTTTAAAACAAAGTGAGAGACTTTTTGGGAATGAGGTTTATGAAGTGTCTATCGCTAGCAAAGATCCAGACTTTCCAACCGCAAGTGGAGGTGACGTAAGTATCCCCAAAGATGCATGGAAGCAAACTGGTAGAATATTTTCGGATGAACTTCTTGCTCTTCCTTCGTGCGAAAATTCGCCGAATATCTCCGGAATTACGAAATCTCAGTCTAATAGTCGGTGGACGAATTCATTTAACAACACCCCATTTACATCTCCTACATGTGGAACTCCTACCTCAACAAGTGGTATTAGGAAACGATTGGGCATGTCGCACTGTAAGCAGATCGCCATTAACAACCAGTCAATGGCGCAGGCCGTAACGCTATTCAAGGATTTAGATAAGCCCTCTTCAAACATTTACAGTTCTACCCCCTTAAAAGACGAGAACCAACTGCAACTCGCTCCAAAACACAGCCTCTTAACCGAATTAAGCATTACCCCCGTGAAACACGTCAGTCCCACACCCCTAGTGGAGACCACATCGTCTACAGTCCTTCAAGAACAAACCCCCGGCGACACTCACTTGTGGATGACCAGCGTTCGAAAGCAGTACCGCGTTTTGCTAGAGCAATTAGACATTTTGAAAAAACGCGAAGTTGCCTTGGAAGAACAGCAGAAGTATTTGGAAAGCCAAAACAATTCGAGGCGCAGGTTTGTTTCTCACAGCCGCGAGCCGAAGCGGTTGAGTAATCTTAGCTTGCAGGCAAACTCTGGGCATATTGTCGGAGAAGCGCGCGTCGGGTAAACGGTTGGGCTTAAGGGAGGCGGTCGCCGATCGAAAACTGGGCGATAGAGGAGCGAGCAACTCCATTACCTTCCAACATGCGGCGTTGGTACATTTTACCATGTAAGTCGAGTTAGGTACCTACTCCCGTTTCAACAGCAAGGCAGTTGTTCACCGGCGATGACAGTATTACTGTTGAAACGCGTTGGATATTTTAATATATTATTGTGGTTTATTGGTGCTTTTGTTTTACATTTTCAAGTTCAACGGCCACAGTAGTTCCAGTGTTTCCAAGCCTTTCAAAAATGTTAAACATCTTCAAAACATTCGTCGATATTTAGACAAAAATGTCTAAAAAATTTTATTATCGTGTATATTTCTAAAGTTACCTAAAGATTTCCATAAACTTCCTACTTAACTTTTTAATAAATATTTCTCACGTTTCCAAAAGGTTAAAATTTTTGGCGCGTTTCTCCCGTATTTAAAATATCTCCAGAACGTTTTCAAAAATGTATGCATATCTTAATTAATTCTGAAAATTTACAACTTCAGCTTTGTATCCTGCTTTCTTATCGGATGTGATCTGTTGTAACATCGGTCACACAGTGACTGTTCGGAAGGGGTACATGTGTATAACTTGCATTTTAGAAAATCTAATGAAATTCCGCCAGTCGTCTACACCGAAGATGGTGCCGTATTAATACCAAATTTGCAGAATTTAATCGGGTTGTCCGAAGTGGAAGTCGCTTTCAAGGCGATGATCGGCGTCGACCCGAAGCTTATACCGACTGGGTGGATTTGCAACCATTATAAATTGATCGTTTGGAAATTGGCAGGTTACGACCGCAATTTACCGGGTACTTTCGTCGAATGTCTCACCGTCGAAAACGTCGTCCAACAACTGAAATATCGGTATCGTATTCTGGTGCGAGTTTAAAATAAAGTTTGCGTTTTTAGGTACGACAGGGAAATTGATAAAGCGGAACGTTCGGCATTACACAGGATCGTGGAAAGGGACGACGTCCCCCAAAAACGAATGGTGCTTTGCGTTTCGAATATTATAAAGGTAGGTGGCGCTGAAGTTCGTGATTGCCTGTACGCGATTTTCAGGAAGGCAACGCCTTGGAGATTGAATTAACCGATGGCTGGTATTGCATTCGAACGGTAATTGACGAATTGCTCAAATTTCAAGTAAAGATCTCGAAAATTGTGATCGGTACAAAATTGATCGTGCAAAATGCTGAACTTTTAAATTGTGACGGTTGCCACCCTCTCGAGGTGACTTGCTGCATGTCAAACCAATTCCGCTCATTGACAACTTTTAGCTTCCAAATCATGTGCGTTTGCGAATTAACTATAATTGCACAAGGCGCGCTACCTGGTACTCCAAATTGGGTTTTCAGAAGGACATGAAACCATTTCCCGTTAGTCTTGGAGGTTTACACAGCGATGGAGGTGGCGTAGGGTGTATAAGGATCCATATTTTTAGAGTATACCCAATACGTTACTTGGAAAAGTGTGAGATGGGAAAATCAGGTAATCGACTTATTCGTAAAAACTGCGAATAATTTATTCATTTGGTAAGTGTGGCGGAATAAGAAGGCGGAGGATAGGCGCATGCAGGAATGGGAGAACGAACGCTTGAAAATGTTAGAATCGATTAATCGGAGGGTAAGTGACGAGTTTGAAAAGGAATTGAAGGGCGCCGAAGCTGGTTGTAAAGTTAATTATACGAAACTCTCAGAAGTAAAATCAAACGAAGTGTTATGCCAGATCGCCTGTAACGATCCTGAAATTCTTAAGGTGAGTTCTCCTTTTCAGCTTATATACAACCAAATAAGTAAAGACGTGCTCGGGCGCCATGCTGCACCACTTCAAAATTTAATAAAGATGAATTTTGTAAGCATTATTGTTGCACAGGAATCGCTTTCGTCTTCACAATTGGAAGGAGTTCTCCAATTTCAACAGGAGATTTCAAATCAACGCCGTCAAGAGATATCGACACGAGTATCCAACGCGGTAAACAAACTAACGCTAAGCAAAAGACAAGTAAGTTCGGTCTTGAAGACACAAGTTGTCGATCGTATCAAGGAAACCGCGCGAACCTTCACACTTAATATTTGGAACCCGACAGAAGAGCACCTGCAACTCCTAAAGGAAGGGTCCGGCTTCTTTGTGTATAATGTCATACTTAAGTAAAATTTGCAAGTTTTCATGTTCCCAATTTGATCGCACTGTTTCAGGAGCAATGGCGATTTCGGCTCGACGAGTAAGACTTACTTTACGCAGGACAATTCCACTTTCCCCAAAATAAAACTGTACCAAAGATGTTTTCGGTCAATATCATCATTGCACCAGTCTTCTTCTCGTCCACTGATCAACGAGTATGACACAGTAGGTACGATCGTTCAGATTAACAAACTACCAACAAATCAAGAGATGTGGCTAACTGATGGTAATGCGAATTTGTTGTACATGAAAATTTACCATGGCGCCGACACGTGTTGCTTGTTGGACAACGTGAGCCGTGGACGAAGTGTTGCATTACTCAATTTATTGTATTGTGAGCGTCGCCTAACCGTCATGCACGCTATTGCCAATCAATGCTCTGTCGTTACCAGTTTTCCACAGCAGAAGTTTTTGCAAGCACAGCTTGACCAACACGTAGAACAACTGCCAAAAGATTTATCTCAACTCCTTGAATCTTGTGATAAAAAAATACAAAACGCAGGGATCACCTTAGAAAAAGGTATGCAAAGTTCGATCAGTATTTCCCAACTGAGTTCGCTTGTTGAAACGACTGGGAGTTACAGCGAAATTGACGATAGCATGGAAGACAACACATTGATACCATCGAGACTGACTAGTACCGATGTGGCTATGTCTCTAATTGATACTGACCAATATTTTGAATCTGTATAGGTAATATCATACTGTTCTTGGTTTGTTTAGGCTGTGTCAAGTTCTTCAATTAAAACATGTTTTCTTTATCAGAAATAAATATTTTTGTTATTTTATTTTAGTTTTTCTTACTCATTCCACCTTCAGCGATTACCTACCTTGCAATACAATTTGTCTTATTCCCATTCGTAAGTATAGGTACCTACCTATGGGTACTAAACATGTTAATTCACTTTCATTAAGACAAAGTTATATTTTTTCTGTCCCAAATATTGGGAAAGTTAACAAAAAAATATCAAAGTCCTCGTGTAAGATCGAAGGGACTTCAGCGCATTTTTGTGTGGCAGATCAGTATTCTATTAGCTACTTTTTGACTCAACCATCAATAAGATCTTGTCGAAGGCTACCACATTCCCTTTGACGGTACCCACTTCCGACGTCTAGTTCATCCGCAATTCGCATTTGAAGATTTGACTCCACCATCAGTAAGATCGTGTCGCTGACTACCACATTCCCTTTGACAGTACCCAATTCCGACGTCCCGTTCACCCGCAGTTCGCATTTGAAGATTTGACTCCACCATCAGTAAGATCGTGTCGCGGGCTACCACATTCCCTTTGTTGGTACCCACTTCCGACGCCCCGTTAACCCCAAATTCGCGTTTGAAGTTTTCACTCCACCATCAGGTTGTCGGAGGCTATACTACATTTCCTTTTTCGGTGCGTACTTATATTATTACACCCACATTTTGGTGGATTTCGCTAAAAACCTTTCACAAGATAGTAGATACTTAATTTTTGGGGCACTTCTCATTGCTCGAGCTTCTATTGGCGACACGAGAAAGAGAGACAGTGATTCGAAATTTACGAAACGTTAAACCGTGTGACAAAATTCGCAACGGAAAGTATAAAAGGCGCCCGAAGTTGACTACCTTTCGAAGACACTCGCGCGCGCCTTGCAGAAGGGCGCCCCTAGGACAAAAAACAAAATTCCGCCACGCAGGAGTTGTGCGTGTTTACCTACATCTTTCAGACGACACCAATTTGAAAAGAATCGGACCAAAACTATAGTAGAAGATAGGAAAAAACTGAAAAACCTTCATGTTAGTAAACTACGCTCGAGGATGACGCCCAGATGTCGCCAACCCCACATCATGTAGCCCTGTCCCTAAGGTTGACAAATTACCCGGCCTTGTAGATAGACGTAGGTACATCCGTTGCCTTTCTTATACAAGAGTTCTACGCGCCCACATTTGTTGCCAGCCAGCCAAAGTGAGATTAAAAGCTATTTTTTACAAATAAATTTGCAAAAATGCACTAAAAAGTAGGTAGGTATAAATTCTACATCATTCAAAATTTGTACCACTTTAATTGACGTGCGACCATTTTGTAATCGATGTATATAGATAATATGAATGTTACCTACACCTCCAAAAGATTTTTGTTAAAAATTCTGACTGGTGAATTATATTTATCTGAATTACCTATATACCGTACACGCCTCTCGGGAAAACCCACCTGCTATATTGATAGAGAATGTTATATCGCCAATGGGAAAATTCAATGTTCTTTCATTTTGTTCTGGTGAACGTTCAATATTTTCTAATTTTTATAACTTATAGGTATACCTAGGTACATAGGTTACATAATTACCTACCTACCAGATTGTTATTGAATGAAATTAATTCTTTAGGTAATGAAATTGGTATCATGTGCGGAATTAGGTATAGGTACAAGGTACCTATTTCTTTTTTACAGGTAAAATATTTTTTTGGTGTAGGTACTTATACTTGTGTTACCTATATTATGCTTAGGTATACCTATATAATGCTACACGAAATCTGCTAAGAGTTGTGCCTTCTTATCTGCTTATATGCGGGACGTCTGACGTCTGGTAAAGCGCAATTGCGTGCGTACTTATAGAAGTTTTGAAAGCTTTTATACTGAAACTTACAAAAGTAGGTACCTACATACTTACCTACCTACCTACACAATGTGGTGTAATTTTTTTCGGCAGTGCGTAAGGAATACACGGCTTGTTCGTGAGATTAACACCAGCTTGTGTAAATAAACTCAATATTGTGTTGTCTTGGCACACCGTGTAAAAAAGGCACCAGTCGGTTGTTGAAATTCTTGAGGTAGGTACCTATAGGTACCTTACGGTTCTATATCAAAGGCCGTTATAGTCAAATATACCTACGTACCTACTTACCTTGGACGTAGCGAGCTAGTTCGCGCTGCAGTTTTTAATTAGTGTATATACCTATACCTATATAGGTACCTACCTACGATTTATTAATATCGGTGCTAGGCGAAAAGGAACTGATAGTAAGTAGGTACTGATATCAGAAGACTATACTTACATCATACAAAGTACCTAGTTGTGGATAAAGGTACTATATTAGGTATATAGTAGGGAACCTATTTCATTGAAGATTGATAAAATCTTGCTTCTTAAAGGGCTAGCCCTTATAGGGGACAAGATTCACATTTTGAACCTCTTAGTCCACGCTTTTCGAATTAATTGTATAATTTATTATTTTGTTATGTATCGGCGGCGTTACTTTACATCGCCGTCATCAGTTGCGAGTGTCTGTACCTATATGCACGTAATATAGGTAGGTATATATGTGAAAGGATTGGTTTATAGGTACCTAGGTATATTAGGTACGTTACTATACCTGACGGCCTTCTGTACCTAGGTACCTATAGGTATAATATTTATTTAAATAAACAAGTTTATGAAAAAAAGGTCTATAGTAACCAACATTTTCGCTCTCTTCCCTCCAATCACCACTATTCAGCTTGAAAGAAAAACTGATTTGCCTGCATGTAAGTTGTAACACGAAAATTCGTAAAAATTTCGACATCGAAAATGGTTACCTTGACTTAGGTACCTAACAATAAAATTTTTATTCAATAACTTATCTACCTAACGAAAACTGTGTCTAAACTTTACACATCTCCCGTCTCCGTGTGAGAACACCTACACCATGCAATACGGGGTTTTGCATATTTGTGATAAAAGTTCTAAACTTAATTTTCCCGGAAATCAAAGAAGTAAATAAGAATTAAAGATTCAATCCTCTTCTCGCCCTTAACGAAATTCTTAATATAAATAAAGATTTGTTATTTTTACAATAATTTCGGATGACCCTATAGATGTTATAGATGTCGGCTCGACTTTTTAACATTTGTTTCCTTTAAATTTATTCATCTAGGTACCTATGTAGCTGAAATTAGTATTTACCGTTGATTCTTCATTGTATAAGTTGGTTAAATTTATTTAGATCAACTGTGGATTATTCTTGTAGACCTGGTTTTTTCATATAACGCTATACCTATTGTTGACACTCCACATAGATACATCTCCAACTTGTGAACGTCATCTAATGGACATTTGTGGATCTTCAGCAACACTTTCAAGAACCAAATCAATATTTGCTTGTGAACGAGCATTGTATTTTTCAGTTTTCTTTATCTTCTTCCATCGAGCCGGTCTCCTGAAATTTTTTAATAATTCGGCCAATAGTGTTTTTAAATGTATACGATAATGTACTATAAAATTCACGTAATTTTCTAGTTTTCAGAGAACATTGATTTTCATAAAATAATTCAACAACTTGCGAAACCGTTTTTGTATAGGTATTGTGGACGAAGCAATGTTTTATAAATCTTATTTTAAATGTCAAACTAGGTACCCATACGAATGTAGGATGCTATCTATAGTTTGTATATTTTTTTTAAACCGCCCAATTTGAAATACCCTATAGATAGAAAAGAAGTTAGATATGTTCCAAATTCGTCCAGTCGGCGCATGACGCTATGCGAGCTTAAAATTTGAATTTAAAGTAGGATTCTTATGGGATTTGTTTTTTAATTTTACTGTAAATACTAAAATTTTTTAATTATAATGGTTTAGGCCAGCGGTTCTCAACCTGTGGTACATGTGACCGCCTTTAAAAATGGTATAATTCTGTGCACTACAAAATAAGCGTTTTTCAAAATACGGCAGATACTTATGCTAAAGTATCTAAAAATTGTGGAGTATAGATATATTAATAATATACCTACAGTTACTAATATAGGTGTATTGAATTAGGTATGCAAGTACACAATAATTTACCTAAGAAATTCTTTAAGCCAATAAATTTAGAAATCTGGCAATAATTTGTATTGAATCATCACGAGCTGCCTCTCTAGAGTACCTACACAAATTTGATAGTATGTTTAAATCTGTGGTACCTACACGTCTCTCTTTGACGAATTTGCAGGGTAAAACTGTAGTCGGTTGTTCTTTTTAAAATTTTGAAAATAAAATTGGGGGGTTTTTATATTTGTGCGTTTTTTAAAAATCTTAATCAAATCAAAGGATATATCTTTCTTAGATCGAATGTCATTTTCAAGATAAAAAATATTTAAGGTTTTCAAGAGCGGTATCTAGGAAACGTGCATAATGAAAAAATATACCCCACGGCCCTAATTATTGCTATCACATCACATCACGAAATTTCGGTAATACCTACCTAGAAGGAATTTTAATTTATAAACAGAAATTTGCCGTTTATTCAGTGCAGTTAAAACAGACTGGGTCAGATGGCGCGGTAGCATTTAAAAAAGTTGTAACCTCCATGACAACCCACTACAAAGTTGCGATGGCGCGTGAAATCCGAAATTCAAAGAATGCTTCAGTTTATTCAGGGAAAGGTGCACCTACGCAAGTGAACGTTCAAACTCGACATTTACGCGCGTGCTTTTTTTGTAATTAATAATGTAGCTTTTACAAACAAATTCAGTGATTGTATTAGTTTTTCGTTCGCAAACTTTAGTTCCCAATTTTGTGTTTAAACAATGTTAAGTGACAAAGTGGAATACGATGTTAATACAGAGTTCGAAGATAACAACTTTAAGAGCTGTTTCGCCCGTTCCGTTGTTGTTAACTCGCAACATCAACAGGAACAACAATTAAAGCGGCAGCTGCAAAATGTAGGGATTCGGCCGAATAGGGACCAGGTCACCCCATTTGTACCTCAAACAAATTCGAAGGTAAGAAGTTTAAAGGGATAGACGTGGGAGGTTGCCGGGGTATTTGGTAATAATTCATTACAACCCTTGCAGCTGTAATTATGGCCTGATGGCGAAAAAATGCAGAAATTAAAAGAAAGTATTCATGGTCGCTGCAATTATATTTGTGAAGATTAACATCTTTTACAAAGTAGGCCGAGATTTATTGCTCGCTTTTATTCTTGTTGACAATTGAATGAAAGACATTAATTACCCCTGGAAAAGAATCTAGAAGGGCAACTGGGACGAATTTAATGAAGTCCAATTAAAAATTTTTATTTGATGAAGCATTTCGACAACTAATGACAATAAACGAAATCGGTCACATTTGTTTGATGTATTAACAATGTCTCGTTACTATGATACGGTAGAATACTTAAATGTAATAATTTAAAAAGTAAAAGGAGAAATTATGGCGTAAATACATCCGTATAACAATTTCTCTAACTGCTTAAAATTTTAATTAAATCATGTTGCTAAACGCCACGGATTAGTATACTATTAAGAGCAAATTATGCAAAACTAATTAATTAGGTGTTTCTGTTTATTATCGTCTTGCACTTACCTGTTAATGTGAAATTAAATTGTAGGCAGTCGAGATATATCAGGAGCTGCTGATTTGTTGCAGTTGAACTTTTCTCATTTTTTGTTTACCCAAGGTTAGAACTAGTTTTTACGTTTTTTAAAAAAGTAGTTGGGGTTGTGCTGTTAAATGCAGATTGAACAGAAATGAAAAAAAATGCAAAACATCGTTTTGACAGCTAACAGCAATGCAAACATCAACGTACCTATTCCAAAATAACCGAATATTTCTGAAGCCTTTCTCTGGCTCTAGAAATATCAACGTACACGCACATATGAGGCTCTCTAAACGCGTAAGAAAACCCTAGGAGCATTGTAGGTTTAATGGATCTTTTAAACGAATTTCTAATTTCTGGCTTTAATGGTTCCCTTACAAAATACAAAATATAAATCTACACAACTTAAAAGATCGTATACAAATTACAATGAGACCCTGTAAATAACATTGAACAAAAATATTGAATGTAAAATTATGTTTAAAAAAATTGTAATTTTTCTGGAACAGAGACTTTAGATGCACTTAAAAAGTCTTTTGGTGTTTCCTAGAGACTACTTCAACACTCATGAACCTTTGGAACATACTAGAAGACAACTGGACTCTTTGTTTATCGCTTGCCTCCAAGCTTTGCAGGGCTTTCTACGCTCCGATCTCTCCACAACCTTTAAGATTGGTTAGTGCAAATTTTACACGAATATAAAAAATTAATAAAAAGTAGTGCATTTCATTTAAATGCGGAAGTGTGAGTGAACTTGGATACAACCGGAGGTCCTACAGCAATGAAACTATTTCAGCCAAAAAGAACGACTATTCTTTCACTCGACTTTTCACATATCTATTCGTATTAGTTTCCCATATAATAATTGACAGCGTGTCCCTAGTATTATGGTACTACCGCAAATTTTCGTATTAGTGGACTGCGATGTCGGTTAAATTACCAATGATAAAGCATTTTTTCCTCAGACTTCCTGTAGTCAACTCGTTGTTGCTTCTATATACCTTACAACCGAAAAACTGTGAGCGAATTTTGCATCACTTTGCTTCTTTCCACGGCTATCAGCCGCAAAGTTTCCGTCATTCTTTGGACATTTTATTTCGAAAATGTCCAAATTTTCCCCAACCAAAACACGTTATCTTGCTCCGGTATCTGAGGGACCGGCTATCGCCGCCCTCGGTGGCCCTTCTCTACGTGTACCACTCTAGAATGCCGTCTCTACCTCCCATGACGTTTTCGATTGTGATCCCCTGGCCGCCACCAACAAGACTGCTAGTTCTAGAATGAGGAGAATAATTCATCAAAGATGCAAACACCCAAAGGAGGAACTGGTGATCAATTAAATCCTAATTAAAAATGTATTGCATTTTTACAAGCTTTACAACGATTAGCTAAAATTGCTATATTAAAATTACAATTGACTATTAACTTTTCCTTTTTTTCTACTGCTTTATAATACTCGCGTAACAAATTTGTTATGCAGAGAGTAAATTTTTAGTTGGTCCTTTTTCTGGCGACTCTTGTTTCATTGTTATGCTGAACCGACCAAAAACTAGCATAATTATTGTATTAAATTAGCAGTTAATTAGAACTAAATTATATACAATTCTAATATTTATTCTTTTCCAAATTGCTACTAATAGCATGATAGACTAATAAGAGTAATAACCACCCTCATAAATTAAAGAAACTGCACGTTTGTGTGCATTTTACTCGCATTAGTGCGGATTCTGCACAATGAGGACAATTTTAAGAAATTGCTGAATTTTGTAATGTATAAAGTAGTAATTAACCCATTGTGTTATACTGAATGAAATCATTTTCGATTATCTCGCCTTGATGAACTAGTATTGCTTGTTAAAATTTGTGTGATTATCTTTCCCAGTTTTCAAGGGCATAAACAATGCTTACCAGTTTATGGAAAGACTTTTTAAAAATTGAGTTTGAGTTTGATATTTTAGTTTAAAAAAAACAAATTGTAAAACAATTAAAAGAGACACTCAGAAGGAAAAAATCTCCACTTCAGTCTTCTGTATAGCCGTTTCAAAAAGAAATTGATTTAGATTTAGCTTGTGGGTTTTTGGTTACCAACATATTGATCTGTTTTCCTTCGAAAGACATGAATTGAATTTATTTCTTTTTCGTGTAATCGTGAACAAATCTATCTACTCTGCGAATAATATTGCAGATTTAGCTTTATAGCTCTAATATTTAACAATTTGAGTAAATTAAAGAGATTTTAGTGTTGTTATTGTTTCTCATCAGTCGTGTTTTGCATGCACATTTTCAAAATAATCTAAAAATGCGAGTAAAAATGTGTAAGTACGAGGTCATTACGTAAAGGACAATGGACAATGGTTGTATAAGAGTTCTTTTATTGTGAATATTTCATGAACGTTTTGTTTGGATCGCACATGGCCTGCTACATATCAACAAAAAACCGATATTTTCAATCATTTCAATCATTAAGTATAAAGATAGGTATAACAGAAATCTAAAGGAAAAGGTTTTGCAGATTTTCACGTTTGAGGATTGTGAGAAGAATTAATTCGTCCTCGAAAATTCGCCCCCGAAATATTGGCGCCGCAGAAACCTCGCCCCTAGATTAATTAGCCTCCGGAATATTTGGCTCGGGAAATTCGCCCCCGGAAGACTCGCCCTCGGAATATTCGCCCCGAAAATTTCTCCCGTGTATAATTCGCTTCTGTTGAAAAATTCACCTTCTGCAAGGTTCGACCCTAACGAATTGATTTTAAAGATTCAGAGCAACCAGCTAACTCAAACTATGGATAGCTTTGGAAAACTTGAATGTATTATTATAACATTGTAACCGTTGCGTTTATAATTTTCAATGTCTGTTGGTTTAAAAATTTTCTGAGAGATGCCTAATCGTAGTTTTATGCAAGAAATTCATAAAAACCTGCTAAAATGGAGAAATTGAGAGAAGTCCGAGGGAACGTGAATTCAATTTGAAGAGGGTTTGAAAATGATTTCCTAAGAATTCGAGGAAAATTTAAACAGGAACTTGATTGAAACAATGAATCTTAGAGAAACTTGAAGAGAATTCTTGAAGAGAATGGTTTAAAAAATAATACACAAAGCAAGAGCGCTACCGGATCCACCGGTCTTCCTTAATGATGAAGTAACATGATTATTACGAGTTAGGCGCAGGCGCATACAACTTTGATTTTGCAATACGTTTGTAGTCATTCACAAAAAGTATAGACCACCTATGATGACCTACCATATAAAACAAGTAGGTACCTAACGTAATTCATGTCCGGGGACGAATTGTTCGGTATATGACTTGTACAGGGGTCAACATTCTACATGTACCTTGTAAAATGAGTACAAGACCAAATGCGAATGCACCAAAAGCCTTTTTCAGTTGCCCTGCCTTGACTTCTCAAAATCATTTGGTAGTTGCCCAAAATGAGCACATACTGAATTCAAAACTATTCCTATTATGGCTTACAATATGTAACGTATTTCATCACAACCTACGTTAGCAAATTACTATAACGATTTGATACGGCCATGTATTTATCAGTAATTGCTTTGACATTCACTTTTTTTTTAATCTCCAGATAAATTGCGTGCAATAGACCCAGGATTACAAGCGTCACTTTCTAACCCATTTTTTGACTAGCAACTGGATCTATAATAGTCGATATTACTAGTGATGTGAAAGTGAGCTTGGAACATACCATACTTCCCATTTCCCAATAAAGGTTATGGCTACTAGTTTTTCTTACTTCTGCAGTAAAAATAATTGTACACTTCCTGTTTATCGCAATTTAATATTTACGTCAACGTAATCCCATGTAGGACACTTCATTGAAGATTACCAAATCGTTTAGAAACTGGTAAGTGTAACCAAGCCGGGCACTATGAGAAATTAACCGTACCCACTCAGTTGATATTCCGGTGTACGAGTAAAAACAAACAAGTAATGTGCACACATAATTTGGTTTATTATTTCCGGTTGGCTGACCGGGGCCGGTAACCTTGCAAATTGTTATCTAATACAGAAGTATCGATGTAAACGCAAATTTCCGATTTTCTGCGCATTCAGAGTTAAGACTGAATTTAAAATAATTGAAATTCTGCTCGGGGTAGGTACTAAACGTGTACACGTAATCATAAAGTTGATTCACCGGAAGCAACTATTTCCTTTTTACTTCGTACGATCGACCCTAAATTTGTTTTTCGTTATTTGTATACTCACTGTCTTTATCTGTTGTTGGTGTGTGTAGGTGTCCTAACTGAAACGATGAATGCACCGTGTAAGGTAGGACCAGTGTGTAGTTGACGGTGGTGGTTAGTGACCGTAGTTCCGGTTTGGGGTAGTTTAAGTGCTGTGAAGTTCACGCTGTCTGGTAGCGAGATTTCATGTTTAGCTAGCCA